ATCTGTGATTATTTAATTATATGTATACGCATTACTATTTTTACGTGATCTAAATYATATGTATGCACACAAAAACACACGCACATTTAAAAAAAAGAAAATAAAAGCACACACAAACATTCACATACGAAAAGAAGAATATATTCATTAAACAGGAACTGAAAGAGTATAAGTRCAAAGAAGAGTGGCTTTAAGTTTCTCAAGATAGTGAAGGATATGATGTGGATTTTCACAATCTGTGGACCGGAAAAGCGCTTCCRAAAAGATACTGTCCGATGATCTTGAAAAAGCAAGTCTAACTTTTGTCTCTTTAAAGAGATTCGAAGCTCTCTCGCAAACTCTTACAAATTTTGACTTTGGTCTACCAGGCAATGTTGGTCGTCCCCGAGGTCTCTTTGATCCCGACATAATTTATGATAAAAAATCCAACGTTAGGCATTATCGTTGAAATATACCTTTCTAATCTTAAAATACCTCCAGCTTGAATAGGTACAATTATRCCAGCATTTGCATTCTACATAATTGGTAAACTGAGGATGATKGAACCCGATTACAAAGATAACTGGATCGAACTTTCAACAAAATGACGTCTTTTTTGTACTCGTAAAAAATTACCCCAGCGCGCAATGCATCTCGGTTCGATGTAGATAGGCCTTTAAAGTAAGCTTATAAGCACTTAACCATTCATTAACCTTAATTAGTTCAAGGTTAATAGTTTTTTCAAGATTTATATAAGATCTTTAGTCAGAATAGAATAAATTTGAGACATCTGCAAAAAGATGAATATCTAAGATATTAGGTGGAGAAATCATTAATATACAACGGAAACAGCAAGGGCCTAAGACTGAACCCTTGAGGAACACCATAGGAGATAGGAAGACAATCAGAGCTAGAACTACCAACAATTTTATTTTTTAGGAGTTGATAATATATRAATTTAGGCACTACCTAAAAGCGGAGCTCCCAATAGGCACAGGGAGTCCAATGAAAATAAAATCGGGCAAAAAATCTTCAAATTTTTTTCTCCTTCGAGATTTATATTAATGTCTCTCATAACATGAAGTGAAAAAAATAAAAAAGAATTGCACTAAATCGTTTTCTTTGCACGAGTCTTTGTTTTCGACCTTAGTACTCTCCCACTTAGGAATTTTGTCGCATGTACACAAACCACCACCAGCCCCACCCCAGGGGCTAGTTTTGTTCTTGAAAAAAATTCTTCGACAAACTTTTGCATGGGCGCCATTTCCACGCTTTGAATTCCTGGTTAATTTTATTTGAAAAACGAAAGATAACCACAGATTATCCAATTAATTGACAAGTTTAGTGAAATGTACCTAGGAGGTCTTTCATTAAAATCCAAATTTCAAGCGGAGATTTTCTAAGTTTTTAAGGAAAAATGAACACGAACATAAGACGGGCTTGAAAACTGGTTAAGAAAAGGAGAGCAAAATATAAGCTTACTTTTACTTCTTTTACATTAGAATTAATTATATTAGTTCATACATTAATTTTTGGTTACCATATGAAGAGTTTATGTTTTTGTAAGGACCGTATTTAGCTAACTAAACTAGTCAAATGAAGGCCCTGAACCATGGCAAGCCAAACAGGACAAAAGTATGGTGAGGATAATGAATCACTGTGCGAGAGTAAAAAAATTACTATGCGAAAATTGAAATCACAACACGAAATTGCGAAATCATCATCAGTTTCCTCTTGCTCAAACTTTTGAAGAACTTTATCATAATTTGCAGCAATGAAGTCAAGTTTTGAATTGGCGCCAACTTCTTGTTTGGTAATATAAACTCTACAGTTGAATCAGACCAGCTTCATTTATAGCCATGTTGACAACGAAAATACATATAGGCGGTGAAAATAAACTCAGATATATAAGAATAACTATCGATGATGATGATGATGATGATGATGATGATATGATGATGATAATAATAATAATGATAATAAAACTAAGTTATATCAATCATTTTCTTCTGGGTGATTGCCTTGCAGTACCAAGCGATATATGTGAAGTTACAAAACTTACCTCTCCAACTCCCACCAGCATTTACATGGAATGGAAACCACTGCCTCCCGAGACACACAACGGTGTTCTGTTGGGTTATTACGTCATGTACTTAAATGTGAAGGAAGTTGTCGCAAATTACCAAAGGGAATTGGTTTCTCTAGATACCAGAAGCTATACTATTATAAATCTCAAGCCATATTCATCCTACTACTGTGGAGTGATAGGCTTTACTTCCATGGGATTCATGATTACGCCAACCATGGTTAAAAAAGCGTCATCATGGCAAACGCAGGAAGACAGTAAGTTTTCAATATGTTGTTATTCATTCATGTACAATGAAGAAAAAATACAACCAGTGTAACACTATAGTATTTTGTTAGGATGTTGATCTTCACAGTGAATAAGCGATCCAAGCGAACGCTGTAAAGAAAGACCTGAAAAAATGATTTCAGGCTTCAACGGGAATCGAACCCATGACTTCCGCGATGCCGGTGCCTGAAATCATTTTTTCAGGTCTTTCTTTACAGTTTATACTAAAACTAGTAGACTGTCTCGCCCTCGGTTACGGCCTGCGGGTCTTATTGTTAAATAGCTAGCTCAACATCCCTAAAAATGTTTGCCATTTGCCGTAAGTCATTAAAGGAAAAAGGATTTAATTGGATTATTTGCATATGTTGTTAATCTCACTAAACAAATGCCACATTCCCAGTGTAAAAAAGATATAAGAAAAGAAGGAGAACATTACTCTATTCCTCGTTATTTCAGAACCAAGTAGTCCTCCACCAAAACTGAAAGCAGCATTTGTTTGTGATCGATACGAGTTAAGAGCGATGTGGGATCCTCTTGGTGTTAAGAACATCAATGGTAAACTGTTAGGATACAGGGTATTGCTTTACCATGGAAAACTGCTCTACAAGAACTTCACAACAACAACCACAAGTAACGCAATAACACTGGACGAGTGTAAGAACTACACCGTTAAGGTTGCTGCTTACACTTCACCTGGAGATGGACCATTTTCTGCTGTTTACGTCACTAGCACATGTCCCTGTGGTAGGTGTTAGCATTACAAACTTGAAATATATTTAATCCTTTTTAAGTCTGTCGAGTACTGAAATAAAAAATTAAACGAAGCTTTCGTCCTGGACAATTATAACTGAAATGATAGTGTCGAAAGCAACTGATTTCCACTTATAAATTAGTTTCGTGCTTATGGTAGGTGCTCCTGAACCATTCTACGAAAGTCGCTCCATCGTTACAAAAGAAGGCAATGCGACAAGGTTACTATGTGAATACCAAGGACGACCTGAGCCCACGATATACTGGTTGCGTCATGGACAGCGACTCCACGATGAAAATAAAAGTGTAGAGAGATTTACGACACAGTTAGCGAATGGTACATGGTACATATCCTATACTGAAAAACAGGATAGAGGATTATACACGTGTGTATTGAACAACACTTATGGTGTAGCAACAACTGATGTGTCAGTTACAGTATCTATAGGTGAGTACTGAAATATTGAATATAACCGTAGTCATATCATGATACAGTGCAAACTAATCCAGTTAACAAATCGTTTCTAGATATGATTCCCATTGATTGTCTTCTTATAGATCAAATATGCATGACACGCCTTTTAAGACGTGTTTTAAGACGTGTTAAAACATGTTACAAACTAATGTGGAAATCACGAGTGCAGCGATATCAATAGCAAAACTAAAAAAACATATTAAAACAAAGAAAAAAAATGAAAAGTACAACGAACGATTCGTCATTCTATGTGTATATCCTCTTATTTTTCATGTTCTCTAAGCTAAGTAGGAAAAAAACTGTAGCCCCCGTTTGTAAAGGCGAGTGCGCCAGCTTCTTTTGTGTGGCGGCCATTTTGGAA